TGTGCACCTTCAGATTCCTTAGGTGCTCCCTGCAGCTTTGCTGAATACTCACCAGGAGCTGATTAAAAAACCCAAACTGACCCTGTTTTAAATGCAGACTTCTAAACATTTCTACCAAACATACTTGAGGCAAAATGTAATTGTGAGCTCCTATGCAATTATGGGCCTATAAATATGATATTTGTCTCTGTTTTTCAGCTATTGAAATCAGGAAAAGTAGCAGTACATTAAGAGGCAAATGTCATCGTATGGCAGGATTTTCTTGGCTTGGTCCCTAATTTATGCATTATTCACTGATTGAGGGTAAGCTGCAAAATATTCTCTCTTAAATGGCAAACAGGATTCAAGAATTCCACTTGCCAGGTAGGTAGCACTGTCTCCAGATTCCACAAGCTTAGTCTATGTCACTAGATTAAGGGTTTCTGCATTGGCAGAGTATATAGGTCGTGCTTGTAGATCCATACAAAGTATCTACAGGCAAGGCTGTAGGGATCTAAAATCAATTTGTTTCTTATCTTATTGTAGGTAATATCTGCAGAGATTGCAGAAACCGATTTGCACTGGTAATATTTTCAGAATATTTTCAGAATGGCTGCTTCTGTGGGACTGTGGATGGGATGTGGGCTGAGACACTCTGCAGAATGTGGACTTGAAAGACAAGTAGTGAGTAGGACGAAAAAAGATTGAAGAGTAAGGCTTAGAAAACAGAATAGTAAATGAAGGGGAAAAATAAAGGGAAAGCAAATGGGAAAGGACAGAGTTTAGTAAAATCAGTACAGATCAGGAGATAGAAAATATATTGTTTATGGAGATAAATAAAGTTTGTTTCAGCAAAACGAAAAAGAAGCAAGTAGAGTACAAAGCATTTGGCTTTGTAGCAAAGGACTCCTCCTGTACTCTGCAGGCCACAAGTGGTGGCCTGCATGAGTACAGGCATGATGCCCATTAAAATGAAAGCTGAGTCACAAGCAGGAATTCTTGTAGCTCCACCTTGCAGGAACCAGAGCAGGCCAAGGTAAGTGGAGATGGTGAGAGAATTTGCAACAGTATTCAAGCAGACAAACAGGAAGAGTGCAGAGTTTACTCCTACACAGTACCTCTGCCCTTGGCTTCCAGGAAACCTTTATCATACAGATGAGGGTAGAAGATAGCTTATGCTAAACTCCATCTCTTGTAGCTCAGGCAACTGTTTCCATTCATTGCATTTGACAGTGCATACATCTATCAATACAGTATAGACTGTGCATTCATAAAAGTGCGGACTAATCCCAGATGACTTCAGTTGACATTTAATGTCTTGAGAAAGAAGAAAAAAGTCTCCCAGAGAACACCTATTCAGCCATAAAAAATTCTGCAATGAACTTATTGTCCACATTACTTTCATAGGAGCTCGAATTTACAGTGTTATCCCACTTACCAATGTATACCCTGCACTAACCATGCACTCATATACATGCTAACATGGGCATTGTTGACAGTGTCCTGCTGCAGCACAGAGCTTGGTACAAAGAGCAGGAGTCTCCTGATGAACAGAGCAAATGCTGCAGATTCAGTATGCACTGAATGTGTCCATCTGAAGCTACCTGCCAAGTTTGCTCCTGGAGCAGTCCAGTTTAAATTTAACGAGGATTTACCTGCAAAGGCTGTAAATCACACCTGTGCAGATATGCTTAGGAAGGTTTGGAGTAAAGTACACAAGCACAGCCATAGTACACAGGACTACTAGCTGCATAATGCATGTGCTGAACTAATTTGGGTCAGACCCCCATGGCTGTGGGTCTTCATGGACCACTTAGCTGAAAAGAAAGGTGCAAGCAGTAAATTAACCTATAGAAATGCTGTCTCTGACAACTGAGAATTCTCCTGATAGAAAACTGCAAAACAACCTTTCTGAGGCAAGAGTTACTGAGCCCTGCCGAAAAGAGAAGAAAAGAGAAGAAAAGAAAAGAAAAGAAAAGAAAAGAAAAGAAAAGAAAAGAAAAGAAAAGAAAAGAAAAGAAAAGAAAAGAAAAGAAAAGAAAAGAGCCCAAAGCTTACATAAAACTAACACAACCTCTTAGTTAACATGGGCAGAAAATCTTTTCTTTCTATTCAGCCATCTCTTCCCTCTTTTTCATATCATGCTTCAACGACAGATGTGAGTTCATGCAGAAGTCCATAAACCCTCCTGATTTTTCAGAGGTGTTAAATGTATAGTTACCACCCAAATCCTTTAATATTATTCCCACACTACGGAAGTTGAAAAATAATCTTGTTAGTGTTGCAAAACTCATGTAGTGTCTTAGATACCACAGAAACATGTCTGAACATGCAGAACTGAGTGACAGGTAGAGTATCCACCCTGCAGGAAAAGCTAAGATTTTTCTAGTATTGCTTTTGTCAAAAAAAATACTTTTGTGGGAATAAAATCCCTTAAATTTTACTTAAGCAAAAGCACATTTTTCAGGAGTATTGTTTTGGATTTTTCTCTTTGTGGCTATATTGTGTGTTCCTTACATTGAGATATAATAGCAAAATGAAGTAAAGAGATGTAGTAAAGTGTCATTCCCTTCCTGGTCTCTTCACTGCATAGCGTGAGGAAATCCTAACTTCATTGTGAAAAGTTTTAGTGTTACAGCAGCAGGACAAATCTCCTGGTGCAGTGGAAGCATGTTGCATTTTAAAGTACGTAGCTGATGGCTGAGATTTTGTGAATACGATTTATAAGGTGCACTAGGGAGCCAGTATGAAACTTGTGGAGCCACTCTGAAACTTGTGGAGCCAGTATGAAACTTGTGGAGCCACTCTGCAAAGCAGGAGGTCGACTGATTTGCTGTGCTGATTTGCTGTGCTCTCCCCTCAGAGGAGAGGCTTTCAGGCAGGGCAGTGGCTGTGGCTGCCCACAGCTTGGTTGGCTAACAGTTCGAGGATTGCTTTTCCCAATCAGTGTTTGCCTTGCGTAACAGATGTGCTTAACAGAGTATATAAGGCAACACACTGAGGAAGTAAATATGTGACTAGCTTGCAAAATGGCAACTGGAAAGGACCCATCACTACTGTCTTTGATCCTCACCGTCGGGCTCACGGCGCTTGTAGCTGCTGGTAAGCTTCAGAAGGGTTTTTACCTATTGCCTTCTGTAAGGAAATAGAGCACACGTGCAGCTTGCACACCTAGGGGAAGCCCAGCTTTATTGGAGGAGCTGGGCACCTGACCTTGCTGCACAGAAATGTAGTCTAAATAACAAATAGTTCTTAATTTCTTTTTGTGGTCTATTTTCAGTCATTTGTCTTATTTGCCCTTTTTGCAAATAGACAAATCAAATTCCTGTGACAAAATCTTGTCTGCTGAGGCAGAGCAGACCACTGTACCACATTTGTAATTTGCTATTGAGAACTTTCACACCGATCTTAAAATGAATCTTACCTAAATGTTAACAGTATTTGTATGTGCCAGACTATTTTCAGGTTTGTTAGAAGCTTTTTCTTTTGGCTGTGCATACTATCAAGGGTCTGGAATATATTTTGTGTATTCACAGATCTTTTCTTAAAAAGGAAATGCCTTTTCTTAATAAAAGCAATCTATTGGACTTTTAACTAACAACCTGGATCAAAAAGGATCGAGCTCTATGTGCAATTACTAATGTGTGGGGATAGCAAGACAATACATACGATATACGTGAGAGACATTAAACGTAGAAACCAATCAGAGTGAAGGCTGAAATAATGTCAGCTATACTGATTAGCATTTGTTGAAGTCTTATGTATGAGAAGGAATTGTTTAAGCAAAAAGAAGATGTATATTTAAGTAACTAAAGCTCTCAGAAATCTGGCAACTACTTACCACAATTACATGATTTTGTACTTACATCCCCCAGGACAAAAAGCAGAGCAACCAGAAGTGGTGACCAAATATGGGAGTGTCCGAGGGTACCGATTCAAAGTAGATGCAGCCGAGAGGAGTGTAAATGTCTTTTTGGGAGTTCCTTTTGCTAAGCCTCCAGTTGGACCTCTGAGGTTTTCTGAACCCCAGCCACCTGAGTCATGGAAAGGTGTCAGAGATGCCACTTCATACCCACCAATGTAAGACAATGAAAAAAACCATTGATCTTTTAAAATAATTGTATATTGTGTGCAATTCCGGGACACTGATGTAGAGGACAATCAAAAGCCACAAAGATAAATTCCTTGGTGCCATCTCATCACCACCTGCAAATGTTATAATGAATGCATTTCTAAAGACATCTTTATAAGATGCTCTTTTTATAAAAGCTCTTATCTAATAGGCATCAGTGATGAACTAATACGGACCAACACTTTGCCCATAATGTTCTGTTTAGGGAGCATTTGGCCAATACGTAGCAATGTTTATAAACTGTGTAGCTTTGGAGCAGAAACAAAAAGAAGCTGAGGAAATGTTGGAACGAAACATTAGAAGAAAAAAACATTGAGTGAGCCAGATGCTTAATAGAACATACAAGAAATGCAGACCAGTTCTAGTCTGTATTGTAAATGTCTTACTCCATTTGTACTACTGTCCTGGTTTAGTACCTCAAGCCTGATACCTACCATTACAATATAAAAAGCTACTGAAGATGAAAAATAATTGATTTACATTGTCATTGAAGTCATTTATAGCCATATATATTTGCAGGTGTATTTTTGTAATATTTTGAAACATGCGACATTATATCTGCATGTCACTGTGTACTGCTGTAGACTGTGGCTCCTTTTTATGGATCTCCTTAATGCCAGGTCACAGGAAGAAAATATATTAAAAGTTAAAAAAAAATTTTACGTTTTCTGTTGCAAATAATCCAGAAATGTACTAGAGATTGTCTTCTGATTTGCACTTCATTGTGGAAGCACAAAAAAGCTGCACTTCATAGCTTTGAGGTTTTAGTTATTTCTGTTACTTGTTATTTTTTCATTTATTCAGGTGTCTACAGGATAAAGTACAAGGACAGTTTTTTTCGGATATTATTACTAATAGAAAAGAAAAAGTTATTCTCCAAATGTCTGAAGATTGCCTATACCTAAATGTGTATACACCCGTTTCTACAGGAAAACAGAAGAAACTGCCTGTAAGCAAAATCATTATAAAACCTCTAGCAAAATTCTTTTACAGCAAACTTACAGTCTGTACTATATGCAGACTTACAGGTGCAGTTTTATGATGATGATCACATACTTTGCCCCAGTAAATATTTGCTGAGGTTTAAAAGATACACAAAATCCTATTTTACAAATAAAATTTTATTGACATTTTAGTTAGGTAATGTTTGATTTCCTCTAAATAATCTGTGAAAAGTCACGGGGCACTGATATAATGTATTTAATAAAGTCAATGCCCTTTTGTAAGACTGCAGGCCTCATATTTGAAAGACTTCTACCATTTGTGAAATGTAATCTGAAAGACTTGGGGAGAGGAACAGCACAAAATATTATTTTTTGGTTTATATTTAATCACTGGGATCTCTTATATGTGCTGAGTTGTTTCTGCTTTTGTCTTTCCAGGTCTTTGTATGGATCCATGGAGGTGGATTAGTTTTTGGAGCAGCTTCATCATATGATGGTTCAGCATTGGCAGCCTTTGACAGTGTGGTGGTTGTAACAATTCAGTACAGATTAGGTATTGTTGGATATTTTAGGTAAGATATTTTATCTCCATTTTTGCTAAGAGATTTACAAAATTATGCAGTCAAAGCCTTTGTGAAGAGACGTGCAGAATACTTGTTTATGCAAAGAAATTATATGTTTCTTAATTGCATATGCAACAGCTGGGAACAATTTACAAGTCCCAAGTCAGAGTCCAAGTTTGTTCTTATTTGATTGCTACTCTAATCTCAACCCTTTCTGAGCCATTTATTTTTCAGTTGTGCAGATAAGCTCTGTGTAGAGAATGACAGCTCATTTCTTATACCACAGATGGTATTTTTCTCTGCCTTTTTTCTTGCATTGAGCATTTAAACAAATCTATTCTTTCTCTGCAGCACTGGTGATAAGCATGCCCGAGGTAACTGGGGGTATTTGGACCAAGTAGCAGCTCTTCAGTGGATTCAGGAAAATATCATACATTTTGGAGGAGATCCAGGATCTGTCACTATCGCTGGAGAATCTGCAGGAGGAATCAGTGTTTCTGCTCTTGTAAGTTCACAGTAATACTGAATTTTAATTACTTAAGAAGAAAAAAACCAGCATCCACATTCATTTTTAGTACATGCATGAAAAATCTGTGAGAAAAAAGGGATGGTTTTATACTAAATGGCATATCACCCTGGTCTGTAATACAATGTGATATCAATACAGCTTCTGATGGATGAAAATGTTCTTTTCATATCCAAATGTTGTAGTTCAGGCCCAAAATGTTATTCTTTATCTACTAAATTAAATTCTGATGGTTTTTTTGCAGTACCAAAAACCTAAAAACTTATCCTTGTGAGAAAAGTCCTTTAAGAGCAGGTATTGCCCATTTTCTGTTTGTTTTGACAGTCATTTGTGCAAATAGTCGATACCTGATCTGGATGTGCATTTTGTGACACAATGATGATGTAAAATTTTTACATCAACACTGACTACATTGGATAAGAGGTTTTGCTTCTCCAGTCTCTCACAATTTGGTACAGATCACCCAGTGAAACCAGGGTTCAGTGATACATGCGATAAAAATTCCTGTTTCCTAAGCTCCTGCCCTCTGGCCAATAGTTCTTTATTCCTTTTCTGCAGCACAGTCAGACTATCCTGGACACAGTTATACTCGATCCATATCTGGCATGCAGTGTGCTTCCATGAAGTCTTGGAAGCAAGGTGCTGTGGGAGGGGAAAAGGCTGGCATGAACTTATACCTGGTAGTCCTGCCAAAGCCCTTTGCATAGCTGAACTATGATCAGAGGCTAAAGAATAACAGTCCTATGACATTTGTTTTCAAAATGTTTTAAATGGAAATCCCTGATATTGAAATTCAGTGGACGAGAACATAATGCTTGTCATGCTTGTAATGCTTGTTCTTGCTTTTTTACAGGTCTTATCTCCACTGGCGAAGGGCTTGTTCCACAAGGCCATTTCAGAGAGTGGTACTGCAATCAGGGTTTTGTTCACTGACCATCCTGAGGAGGAAGCACAAGTGGGTATTTTGTGGTAATTTTCATTATTTTTCAAGATAGTTTTGCATATCTTAAACTGTTTATTCCAAAATGTAGAAACAGGATTTTTTTTTCTTGTGAAACTACAAGCACAGTCATTAAAGACAGTATTTCTGTGTGCAAACAATACATGTTTAATGATGCTTTGCTTTTTAAATACCCACATATCCACATATGTCTGAGTGAAAGCAAGAGACTAAGGAAGCGAAGAGAGAAGGCAGGGAAGAAGTGTGAAATGCAAAGGAATACTATAACATAGCACCAGATTCTGAATACTCTTCTCTTCCCCTCTGTTTGATGCCTGTTATGTGCAAAGAAACAAGATTTTATTCAATTTGTTTATATTTGAAAAGAAGAGCTGACTTCAACCCTTTTTTTTTATTTTTTTTTTTAGCAAGAAACACCTTCTAGGAACCTAGATTTGCTAATCTGGGCTATAAAAAGGGGCTACATTAAAATGAGCTCTGTCTCTCTAATGACAGCTGTTACCCAACCAAAAAGACATAATCAAGAATGGTATAATGTGCTCTTTGTTACCATCTACATGGTTGTATTCTGACTGTGCATCACTCTAATGCTTTTATGTCATCCTGCCTTCTCAGCCCAGCATGTTACAGTGGGTCTGTTTCTGTATCATGATATTTTGGAGGAGTATGTTTTATCCTTCTGCTCAGCCCAGAGTGCAAAGGGTTATGTGGGCTTCCTATTCTCTACCTCTGCAGGTGGAACATGTCTGCCTGCAATGATCCATGCACAGAAGTTTAGACTCCCTCCCTGCTGGACTCTCGGGCTGGTGGTACATAGAGCCTTCTGTGGGAAGTATTTTTAAAAGTGTTTGTTTTATTGATTGTAGAGAATTGCTACTGCCTCTGGCTGTGAAAAATCCAATTCAGCTGCAGTGGTTGAATGCTTAAGAGAAAAAACAGAAGAAGAGATAGTACAGATAACACTAAAACTGGTAGGTGAAATTATACTTCTTGCATTTAAGTGACATTTCAAAGTTTATTATAACAGAGTATGCTATTTGTGTGTTGTAATATTAGGAGAACTTGAAGTGAATGTAGCATCTGACTTTCTTGACCTTTTCAGGATTTGACAACACTGCAGCTATGCTCTGCCTCACCTGAAAAATGTGAACAGCTTACTTTCCTCTCATTCTGCATTGACTTTGAGCTACTTGTATTTTGCTGTCATGCTCTACCAGGGGAAGGAAAAGAGTGTAGGAAATCTCACAGTTTCTCCTGGAGATCCTGAAAATTAATTAATCTAATATATAATGTCCTACTTAAAGTTTCTTACCACAGTGCTGGCTTCCATTTTCCTCTGCAGTTTCAGTACAGAAGTTAGTTTTTCCACTACTGCTCCACACATCCGTAATAGGATTGAACTGAGTAGAGATGTAAACTGGACATCATCACCTATGTTTCACAAACTTTAAAAACATAATGCTAATCTTCACAGAATCTTCAGCCTGGTGCAGAAAATCCATCAGAGAAAATTTAGAGATGGCTTGAATGCTATTACTTCTTATATTTTCACTTGGCACTTAATTTGTTTTGCTTTGGAGCTACAGTAAATATCTGAAAACTTTTTTTAGAAGCAAAAATTAATAAAGTTTGCTTTATTTTTTTTTTCACTCCAGCATCTCCTCTTGGTCAGTTCATCTGTAGATGGTGTGTTTCTTCCAAAGAGTCCCAGGCAATTACTATCTGAAAAAAAGATCAATGCAGTCCCATATATAATAGGAGTAAATAACTGTGAATTTGGATGGCTACTTCCTATGGTAAGAGACTTATAATGCCATTATTTATAGATCATTTTGTTAATATGAGATTTTTCTAATAAATATTATTCTCTGTATCATGCAGCTAATGAAATTTCCTGCTTATGCAGATGGTCTGGATAAAGATGTTGCACGTCAAGTTTTACAGAGCTCCTTAGTTTCATCACTTAAGGTAAGAGACCATTTTCAGAATAACCCAGTGCTGCTTCTTCACTGGACTGGTTCTGTATTTGTACACCAGCAGTAGGACACAAGACCTGGAACACAACATTCTGAAGCAGTAGCTGGAGACCAGAAAATATAACCTGAGATCTTGATTAAAGATTTAAAATGGCACTGAGACACCTATATTTAGGTATCTTGTGTTTTTGCTTCCGTGTAATTTACAAACCTGTTAGCCCTCTGATTCCTTTTTGCTCTTCCAAAACTACTAAATGTAGAAAAATGCAAACTAATAGGTAAGAATTGAGGACTTTATAAACATGGCCAGTATTTGCAATGGATCATTCAGTGTCACAGACATCCATCATGAACTTGGAAAGGCAGAGCCTGCTTGTGCTGAAAGGGAGTAAATTATGGCCATCTACAATGATAAATTAATTTTATGCAATCCAACAGGATTTCTTTTCTCTTATGAGGGTCATTTCCACAGAAGGGAGAACAGACTGCCATATCTATTTATCAGCATCACTGACTGATGTTTATCTATAGATGTGTGATCTTTAGATCTTGCAAACCTCTTTTCCCCAAGAACATCTATACTTGGTAGCTGTGTAAACTCCTGGTTCTGAGCTCTGAGCCACACTCTGGCACAGTTGAGGATTTCCTGTGAAAGAAGGTAATGTTTGAGGTTTAGCCAGGGATGTGCAGATGGCACACTCAATTAGTGCTGTTACTCTTTATAGTATTCATCATCATTATAAGAAGTATTTTTGTTGTTCATTTCAGGCTGTCACTTCTGAAGTTGTTGATCGAGTATACAATGAATACATAGCGAATGCAGAAAACCGTGCTCAGGTGCGAGATGGCCTTCTTGATGCACTAGCAGACTTTACATTTGTTCTTTCAGCCACTGAAGTGGCTAGATACCATAGAGGTGAGTCTCTAATTCAGCATTTATTAGAAGAAATATAGAATTCCATCCTGGGGTGTGTTTATGGACAGTATACATCACACTTTGTTATCCAAAGAACTGATAGTGTTTTAATTTTATCAAAACAGCCTGTAATAAAAGTTTATCAGCTCTGATGGTAGGTATTTTCAGCTCTCAAACTAACACGCTCCTGTATATTTTCTACTAGATGCTGGCAACCCAGTCTATTTCTATGAATTTCAACATCGACCAAGTTCAGCAACAGGTGTTGTACCAGAGTTTGTAAAAGCAGATCATGGAGATGAGATTGCCTTTGTCTTTGGAAAGCCATTCTTAGCCGGTAATGTACCCATGCTTACTAAAGTATTCCTTTTAAAACATCATTATTATTAATTTTATTTACTGGAGGGCTTTTAGAATAGACTTCCTATCTTAGAAACATTGAAATCAGCACAAGCATTTTCTGTCTTTAGTAGTAGTTACTTTTCATTAAATCATTAATCTACAGTTCTCTGCTAGAGCTCTGCTCAGGTAAAACTCCCACAGCTAGCTCAGAGTAACAAGTAGAACCAATGACAGTTTATTGGAATTTATATAGTTGCTACTTTTTTGATTATTTAGTTTTTAATGTGGCCACTTCTCTCACTTTGCAGGGCATGCTACAGAAGAAGAAAGTAAACTTAGCAGAACTGTTATGAGATACTGGACTAACTTTGCTAGAACTGGGTGAGAATTATTGTGCTAATTACAGCTCGAGTTTCGTCTGTGCTGCCTGAAACATAATAGCAATACTTATACGGTGGTTCCTACAAATTTGGCAGAATTTAAGATAAATATTGAAGCAAATGATTTCTATTCCTAATCTTTGCAAGAAAAATCTTTTAAATGAATCTGCATAGCAAAAAAGAAAAAAAAAAAAAAAGAATCCAAGAGCTATTACTCCATCAGCAATGGAGTTTTAGATCCAAAAGCAATGGCAATTATCAAATGTTTGTTATTCCACTGATGAGCATTTTGATAAAAAACATCCAAATATTCAAGTACTAGAATCACGTAATCTGAGCTCATGTTAGTTTTCTGAAATGCTCTCAGCCTGAGCAGTCAGAGCACAATTTATATGCAAATGGAAAGCTAACTTTTCATTACATTATTTCCAGAAATCCCAACGGAGAAGGCTTGGTCCATTGGCCTCAGTATGGTCTGGATGAAAGATACCTGGAAATAGACCTGGTGCAAAAGGCAGCAAAGAAACTGAAAGGACGCAAAATGGAGTTTTGGACACAGCTCACAAAAGAAATGCTGAATGAAAGGAGAGAACACACAGATTTATAAGAGTTGTGGAGGTTATGGTTTGCTTTTAAAACCTGAAATCAAACAAAATTAGTTTGTCTGGATGCAGAGTTAAATAATCACCTTCTAACTCACTGTTATGTAATTTGTTGTCATGATCACAGTGAAAGGAGAGAATCAAGGGAGGTTTGGAATGTCTGTGGGACTAAAAATCACTATTTAATGAAGCAAGCTGAGAAAACACATAACCTTTCAGGCTCAAAAACACCATGGTATCTACTCAGTAGATATCAAAACTGAATTATGCTCCTGTGAGAAGGGGGAATGAGGGGCAAACTGGCAAATATATTGAAATCTGTAAGAAATTGTCAGTACAGAATATATCATAAGTGTCAGGATATATTATATGCTTATTCCCCTCTTCTTTCAGAAAAGAATGGTCAGTTGTCTTTCTTACAGCCTCTTTCCACTTTCTTTAATTGGAAATAGCTTGTAGGGAGCAGAGCATCCATCAAAAAATATCTGTGAGATGGGCTTGACATCTCACAAATGAGGACAGAAAATCTCTACTTGTTTTCTTGTTTTGTAAACTGTTATAAATAAATGTTGCTTTAGACTTTTTGGAACTTCCTTTTCTTTCATTTAACTGATATAAGTTTATTACAAGAGGTTAAATCACACCCAAGAAGCCAGAAATGTGCCCAGTTTCTTTCTTTAGCCTAAAGGGAAGTAATTTTAAAATATATATGTTTCCACATTTGTGTTAATTAATGGTAACAAATATTATTCCTGATCTTTTAATACTGTAGCTTTCCACACATTGATGTTTCCTGTGAAAAATATCCATTTTCACACCCATTTATAATACTGCTTTGTTCAAACTTGCAAATTCTCAGTATTGTAGATGCTGTTGTAACTTATTTATGTCACAGCTTTTACGCAAAACATGACTCTGGTCTTCAGCTGTGATGGGAGGAATTGGACTTCTGCAAAATCACTTAGCATTCCCAGCACAGTGTTGCTGATGACTGTTCACTGTGACTCAGTTGCTGAAGAAAGTACTGCCCATGGAGGAGTAAGTAGCATAGTTAATATAAGAAAATTGTCAGTCTTTTACACAGATTGCAGAGAATTGCAACTGTGCTGGCTGTGAAAACCTGATTCAGCTGATTTAGTAGTTCAGTGCTTAAGAGAAAAAACAGCAAAAGAGATTGTAAACATAACTAAAAATTGTAGCTAGTGCTGTACTTTGTTTTATTAGACAGAATAAATCCCTCTCTAAGACTAAGATCACTTGAAGCAAAGCCATTGTATGACACTTGCTTGATACTTTTGCAGGTGTGCTCAACAGTGCACTTGAGCAGTAATACTGCACCTGAAGGATCTGAACAGGAACATTCCCTGCTCTCGTGGTCTGCTCTTAGGCTTTTCAGGGCAGAAGTGCATTCATCACAGGAATGTAAACAATTAATGTTTTGTTTTTCCCAGGAACAGGTATGAACCATGCAGGCTCATGAATAGCAGATAGGAGAGTCAAAATTGCAAAAATGGAACTGTCCAGCTTTGTATGGTTCTTTGTGTCATCAGAAGGCACTTGCTAGCTGCTGGCTGATTTCTTAATACAGTGTGCAAGAAGGAAGGACTGCATGTTGGAGGAAGTAATACAACAACCTTTCTGGGAAGTACAGTCATTGAGAAAGCTCTTCTTTTTGCAAGACTGAGCTTTTGTTAGTAGCTGTTTTATCTGTTGCCATAACCAGGTTTTCCGTATCACTGTGCTGGCTTGTCAGTTCTTTTGCAATCTTACGACGTAAGCTAACTTTCACCCCGTTACTCATCCAACCCTAAGAAGCTGGAGTTAGAAACTGGTTAACAAGTCGCTCTCTGTCTTGAGCATTCAGTATTAAATTCTTGTGCCGTACTAAAATTATGTAAGAGAAACTCAGAACAAGGCCTGAAACTTAGGTACCTTTGACATTATACATTAGATCTAAAAATAGGTCACTTGGGTGATTTATTTAGGTCAACTCTAAGAAAACTAAATGATCTTTCCAAGCAAAACCAGTATGTAAATAACAAAGGGGTACTTTTTTCTCCAGCATCCTCTCTTTATTGATGCAGTTGTGGGTGGTATAATTTTCCCTAAAAACCCATCACTGCTACTAGCTGAGAAAAGGATCAATGCAGTCCTGTACATCATAGGAGTAACAAACCATGAATTGGGATTTCTGCTTCCAACTGTAAGGCATATAATGCCTTTTATTTATACATTGATTTATTAACTATTCAGCAGCTTAGGAGCTCACAGGAAACATTCTTTTTACTCTGCAGGTGCTGAAATAGCCTCCTTTTGCAAAAGGATTGGACAAAAATGTAGCAATTCAAGCATTAAAGAGTGCAGAGTCTTTAACAGTAAGAGGCAATTTTAATGTGCTAAATGACTTTTATCTAGTGAGTGTTGGTATCTCAGAGCTGCACTAGTGCCTGCTTTTTTCCCCCTCATTTTCCTGGATACAGACACTGCCACAGAATTCCCCCATGTACTGTGATGTCCTTCAGCTCAGTGCCAGGTGTACAGAGGGCATCAGCTGCAGTTCAGGCTCTGCAGAGGCTCCATCTGTTCAGGGTCCCTAGGGCTGGTTCCCAAGCTCACAGAGATGCTACATGTATCTGAGAACAACCTGTCCCTAAGGAAATGGAGCCCTGAGCTTGAGATAATTCTGTGGAAACTCACAGTAAGATTACTCAAATTCTGTTTTCCTTATGCAAGTTATTTCCACAGAGGGAAAACAGCAGGCATTGCTGACTGGTAGTACCCGGGCAGGTATCAATTACATTGATAGGATGAGGGGTAGTGGTTTTAAACGAGAAAAGGGTAAATTTAGGTTGGCTATTAGGAAAAAGTTCTTCAATATGAGGGTGGTGGATCATTGGAACAGGTTGCCCAGAGAGGCTGTTGAGGCCCCATCCCTGGAGATATTCAAGGTCAGGCTGGATGGGGCTCTGAGCAACCTGCTCTAGTTGAAGATGTCCCTGCTCACTGCAGGGGGGTTGGACTAGATGACCCTGAAAGGTCCCTTCCAACCCAGACCACTGTGATTCTGTGATACATTCCTGTTTGAGCTCCTGCAAACCTCTTGCTTAAAAATGGAGCTGTAACAAGTAACGCTGAAGCACCAGCTCTGAGGTTTGGTTACTTGTTTTATTTGTCTATTGGACAACCCCGTGTACTTTTATGAATTTCAGCATCCACCTAGTTCAACTCAATGTTCAAAACCAAACCCTATAAAAGCAGTTCATGCAGATGACGTTGGCTTTGCACTTGCAAAGCTCTCCTCCGCAGGGGATGTATCTGGGTTTGCTAAAGGATTTGTTTTCCCATCACCGGCACTCGAGCACTGCTAAGATAGAAACATTTCTAGTAAAATAAGAAACGTTAGTGTTCTTGTAGAGCACTGGACCGTGCTCTGGCAGGATCTCCGTTATCCGGGATCAGTTCTGGGACACACACTCAGGAGCTGCTGCTCTAACACCGCAGCCCCCTCGGCCCAGGCCCGGCCCGTCCCCGGCTGCGCACAGGCGCG